CACGGCCACCGAGGCCCGGCTGGCCGTGATATCATCCGGCTTTGTATGAATATCGTTAAACTTTTCGCCTCCGAAATGCAAAGACCGCGCCGTGAGCCGAAATCACCGACCAAGGATCCCTTAATAAGGGCCACCAGCCGCCTTCCAACACCCCACCCCCTCAGCCGCCGTAACTCTTCTTCGTCACAATGGTAACCATTAGACGCTGCCATATTTTTTACTGTGACTGTGCTCTTTGCAACATGCTCGAGTTACTGGTACTTTGTGTGGTTTGTGATATGGTAATTCCTTCAGTTGTGAGATTTATTCGTTTCGAAGCTTTTTACTCGAGTTGAATGAAGACATATGTAGTGGATGGCTCCGTTAGTAAGAAAATATTTAAGAATAAATTTACAATAAAACCTTAGAATGCTCAAGACGTAAGGATTTATTGTAAAATGTTTCTCGTTGCCGAGTTCCACCCCTAATTTCAATTCAATTGCCAAGTATATTCTGAGTAACAGTAGAAAATCAAATCACCAGCTTCATATCGCCAAAATAGATTTTCTAAGAAGGTCCAATAATTATCCAATTAATGCACAATTACAGAAATATCGAAATGAGAACGTCAATAATGTAGACCATGCACCACGTGATAATCTACGCTACCAAAAAATTAATATTTAACTTTAAAATGAGCGATTCAGAATTTTTTCCAGAACTGGAATTTAATCTGTCCAGAAAGGAATGTTTAATATTCCACGATTTCAGAGCGTTCAGTCGACTTCGAAGTTCGCAATAGTGAAAGCGCATGAATAAATTTTGCCTCTGTTGCGGATATAAATTGCTTATAAACAATTTCATCTACTGGTAGCAATTTACGGTGCATCGTGCCGGGCGATTTTCCACGCGTACGAGTTTCGACGAAACTTGTAACGACACGCGTAAAAGAAAATGCAATTCGTGTATCACGCGACTTCGTTTCACATTAATAAGAAGAAACGGACGACTGGTGTGCACGAATAGTCCTTTAGTATCGGTTTTCTTTTTACGTGCCTCTCATTCCACGATTGAAGAACGTTGCACCCAAATATCTTTGTTAATTTTCTGAATTACTTGTACACTGTAAATCTACTAGTAGCCATGCATTTTATAATATTTCAATCGCGATCAAAATTATGAATTATGAAAATTATGACAGACCTCGACTGTTCCATTCGTCCGTTCCCATCCTTGTCGTTGCTCAAGCCAGAGTCCCGTTCCCTCGATGAAAACACGTCAGACTTGTGCAACGAAACGCAATAATTCGTTGGATACGCGTCCATGTCCAAACACCTGTGTACCTGTCCCTCGCAGCACTGTTTTTCTTCGAATACGACGAATGCCGACCGTGTCTATAACTTCCTGGTTGCGAAACTGAATTCTCCGTCTCCTTTGTTGAAGCGTACTTGCACACGATAGATTCTAACTTTGGCGTCGCAGTCACGTGGCGCTACCAGACGAATCCCTTGCTTATTAGTCGATTCATGAGGTGGCTGTTTTGCTCGGTATTTATGTGTTTCGAAGTCTACGCTGACTTTGTTACCCCGCATCAAAGCGGGATTATGTTAATAAGCCGGGACTGCATCAAGGGAGAGGTACATGAATTACGACGGCGTCTGCCTCTGTAATGTGTAAGATGCACTAATTTAGGGGACCTTATGTACTGTGCACGGTACACGGTACATGCTATTATGAATGCGATATATCGCTCTGTGGCGTGCACGGTCACGCGTTGGGCGTATTTCTTGGGATGTTTGTCTTTCGAAGTTCCTGTAGAAATGTCCGGATTAAATTCCACGCGAAAACGGAAACTAAGTGGAACAGCATCTCGGATTTCGTGGTTGCAGTCTTTAATGATACCCAAGCGTATCTCAAATTACAATTAAACGTATTGAAACATTTATTTGGAAAGATCAAACCTGTCTTTTGATCTATATAGATTTCTTCGATAGACGTAGAGGGTAAGGATATTTATTTTCCTGGCTGTATTCGTTAATTTATCAGTTGTGAAATTAATTATTAACAATATTTACTGAAGCAATCGATGTCAAGTATTCTACTTAACATCTACTTACATCTTTTGCATTTGATTGTATTTGAAAGTATTATTTCATTTGAAAATAAGAAAATCTGAAACAATATATAAAAAACCCTTCACTATACAGTAAACATGAATAATGTTCAAGCATGTTTATTTTAAAGTAAACAGTTACATTTTTCGTTAAGGGAAATCGTGGCACGAAGTGATGAATGAAGACACCGAATAGTTCAAGTACCCGAAATACTCGAAATTCATGGTCGGATGGCTCGTAATTGGTTAAACCAATTTAATCGTAGTAATTGCTACCATCTTGCTCGACGAGGGAGGACATTTCGGACAACGAACAGAACATCGAAGGAAATCCTCTCACTAAACCTCGGAGATCGTGTAAATTCAAAAGGATTTAGGTTCATTTGACGTTCTACAATCGGCTTTGTAAAAACCTTTAAGGAACATCTAACAATAAAGAGCCATTCTTTGAACTCCTTTAGTGTCTTTTGACAAAGACAGTAACATAGGTTCTAGATACATCGATTTTTAACGTAATGTGAAGTAAAGCATTTTGCTTGAAACCAATGTCATTAAATATTAACTTGTGTGAAAACAGAAACAAACAGTTTAATGTCACTCTTATCAATTTCCTCGTGTTTAGTTTTCGATTGGGCCACTTTTATGAAAAACTGCTCTAATTCGTTTCTTCTACGGGTTTAATAAATTCAGAAGTATGTAATGAGTGATGAAAATTTTATTTTTATCTTCTGAACTGACGTTTTCTCCGTTAGGGAAAGTACAATAGAAAATGTTCCTTTTCTGGACGCGTGAATACACGCGATAGCGGCTATACATCGCGTCTAGCGTGTTTTCATGAAGTAACGCCGTCCTTTTTAATAAATGTACAACGCAAGACATGTGATTGGTCACGGACGCGGCGTCATCATTAGGTTTATCAAGATCGTTCCACCGATTAGCGCCGTACCGAGCCATGGGTAATGAAACTCTCGCAATCGCGCGTGCTCGCCACTTATCAATCGTGTTTCATAGATTCCATTTTACCAGGTTTCGTAAATAAAACTAGCAAATATTCAGATTAATGCTTGCGCAACAGCAGAACCAGATTGTAATATTACTCTATGCAATAAATCAAATATCATATTCATAAAATTAAGTATTATTAAATATCTTTCTTTTTATTAAATTTTTCATTATACATATTTATAACGAAACACTTATTTGAAAACATCAAACCTATTATTTAATTTAGACTTAATTTTGGTATAACCTAGTCTCAACTTAATGGCCATTGCAATGTAACATCTCTTGATCCATCGAGGTCCAAGCGGAACTCAAAATCAAAGCTTGCAAAAAAGACTCGAAATATTTTAGTCCTAAAAAATAGCCCTTCCTCGGCTGCCATAAACGTGCCAACAAACTTCCACGATTTAAATTCTTCAGGACAGATGTAGTTGAAAGCGGAAATAATGACGCAAAGGTAATCCGTATTCGCGTCTTCCACGAGCAGTCCTGATGAAAACGACAGCTCGTCGGAAGCGTAATGACGGTAAAGGATGTCTTGAGAACCGACGAGATTATGAATTAAGCGCGAGAGCGTACGGGAGCGTGTCGATGGTGTCGAGAATTAACCCGGTTAGCAAACACGTGTTCTGGTTTAAGGGAATCCCAATCTCGAGGAGCGACTCCGCGGCTGAATAAGACGCGCGCCTCTGGAACGAGGAGAATTGGCTCGATGGTTTCGGAGACACACGCGTGTGCATTGCCACTTTAGACGAACGAGTCGGTTATCATTGTGTACTGTTCGCGAAATGAACTGCAGCGGTTCGGTTTGTAACCGGTGTCTGGGCTCGTCGGGTAATTGGCAAAGTTTGCAATTATTTTCGCAAAGTGAATGTCCTAGTACAGCACACAAGTGCTGGGAATTGTTGGAAACAGTACAGACGAATAATTTTCTTGGATTAGGGAAGCTACAGTAGCGGATGTATTTTATTTTCAATTTTCATTTTCTCTTTGAAACTGGTATAGAGACTATTTTATTCTGTATGAGAATATTAAATGTTTGCTCTCTAATGGTTACAAAAACCGTATGACCAGGGGACGACAAAATTCATATTTGACATATAAATGCACTTACACCACTTTCAAAGTAAACGGCTCAAATGCTGGTCGACCAATGGTTCCCGAATGGTTGCCAAAGTGGAACGAAATTGAGAAGCGAAGCGTTCAGCGCGTAACGAAATTAATCTGCTCGCAATGTTAATTGTTTCGTTTATTCGATACCCGACAAAACAAACAAAACCGCTAGCCGTGCTTTAATCTCCCGCATAGAATTCCTATGATGTTTGAAGAGAATTGAAAACGCAAAGGGTTAATACCGCGGGGGGCCCACGGACACGCCGCAAATTGTGTGTGCAGCAACAGGTATTTGAGTATTATTCGTACACAAGAATCTGCGTGTGACATTATTCACGTATCTGAACGCTTCGTGTTTCTTTGATGGCGTAACTTTTCCTGGCCGCTGTCACCACCGGTTACTGTCAAAAACGACAGCAGCAAGTAACGGAACGGAAGCATTTTTCTACGGCCGTTATCAAAATCCAAACGGAGAACTATTGTTTTCGAAACCCTGTCGTCGACGCGTGTAATTCGTTCGCGAAAGAAACGTCGACACGAGTCGACGACATTTCGCGACTGAGCCTCGTTTCGTTGGATAGAAGTCGCATCAAAGACGAGAACGGTCTATTTGAATCCAGAATGGAGTGGAACGTGCGTGACACTGTGTGCAATATGTATCGAATCGTCTCGTATCCCACCTGAGAATACGGAGCAAGGTGGAGGTGATATTCGCGACACGATTCACGGTTCTGATCTCTGGGGTATTTGGCCACGTTCGTGTCACAGAATTTGTTCTTGCTTTGTTTTTTAGGACTCGATACTGTTGAGTTAAATGTGACCAGTCTACGCCTGGGAAAACGATGTTGGAGATGGGGGATGTGAGTACTTCCTTGAACAACGTGTGGTGAGTTTTTGAAACGTTCTAGATTTTCTTGAAGCTGTTTATCAAATGGAGAACGTGCGATTGCAGCTTCAATTATAAAATCGTAATAAATTTTTGTAACATTTTATGTTCTTTTGTGATTACTTATAGAATGAACGTAATTATGAGTGCTGAAGTTATAAAATCGTGAAAAGATCTTCAAATATTCTACGTTCTGTCGCGACTACTTAACGAAGAACTTGTCATGCATGGCTAAATCATAAAATCATGATGAATTATTGAATCATTCTACATTTTTCTACTAGTAAAATGAAAAACGTGTAACACAATGTGAAATTATTAAATCGCGTTGTATTTTTGAAACATTCTACATTCTTTTCCTAGTAAAATGAATGTACCCTTCGTTTTAGGACTGTTACAGTAGTCTTCCTCCTTAAAGAAGTATAACAAAAAAATCAATTATATACGTTTACATCAATTAAATACGCTTTTTATGACGAGCCTGTACCGAGACAAGAGAATTTCAACTTTTATTCCATATTTTCAATGCTGCATTTGCCAACAGCGATACCGTTTTTAGGAACATATTGTATTTCATCGTGTTTGTTACAGATTTTCATGCAGTATAAAATTTCATTTCGATAAAAACGAGCTGAAAAATTTATTGGAAACCTTTATGGAGTATAGCGTTTAATAATAACAATGGAATCTGTAACGCATATTTTTATCCCCATCCCCCTAATTTCCTCCGTTGAAAATAAAGTTGGTCGCGTTTTATGCAGAGCTTCCACTATCTATTGACGTTCCGACTGAATTGAAGCTACCGGATAGAAGACAGGAGATCCTCCTCGTGAAATTTTAGTGACCCCATAAAAGCGAACGTTTCCTCGCAAATCCGTATGCTCGCATCCCCTTTCGATTCCCTTAGACCTCCAGTTATCAAAAGAGTAACACGTTTTCATCTCACCTACCGTAGTGTTTCTCTTAACGACAATGTGATAGAATCAAAGCGCCCTGATCATCCAGTTTATTTCGGAATTCACTTCGCCAAATCGCTTCACAAATTTACCCCGCGCTGCGAGTCGAACGGAGATTCCGTTCATACGAATCCTCGCGTTTCTTTATCGGCTGTAAAAATTCTATTAGACGAACCGTGGCAGTCTATCGTCTGTGAAAATATTTATTCCAGTTCTTATATTAAACGGTCAAGTATGGACTTTTATAAATTGATTGAAATCAATTAGAGAAATTAGTTAAAAAAATAACATTAAAATGTCATTTGAATATTATTAATTATAATATTTTTTCATTATGAATGAAAATGCAAGATATAGTTTCTTAAACCATGTAATACTTAAAATTAATTTTAGTTGGTCAGTCCTCACTGAGAGAAGATGCAGAATATTGTAAAAAATTTCTCAGAATAGGTCTGATTATTTTATTTCTAAATGAAAGTACCGATTACAATTAAATGTCTAATATATGTAAAAAATAGAATCCTAAAATCTTTCCCTTTTATAAAATCTTTTATAAATTAGTAAACTGTATAACCATATAAATTTGGATTTTCATGTGCAGTGACATTAATTTAAACGCGTCTGTGAATCGAGATATCGATGGACGGAAGGAAAGTTCGAATTTTATCCAGGTCTGCGATAACAGATCTTAGCGTGTAGAGATAGCCAAAAGAGTTCAGCGTGTGGACAGCTTCGAATAGAAGCGGATAAAGCTGATCCAAGCCGGCGGAGCTTCGCGCGGAGGATCAGGAATCGGCTTAAGCCTCGATACTCTCCTGCGCTTCGATGAAGAGTGCAAAGTGTAGTACGTACCGCGCGAAAGAGGAGAGCTAAGGATCCTAAAAGGATTCGAGGATCTCCAAGAATTCCGATACATTTTCGTATATGTCTCGAAGCCTCGAGCGGGGAGAAAGTTGCCTGAGCGTCGTTGCTTAAAGCAGCGCGTTCAAAATGTTCTTATCGTCCAACGCTGTAATAACGGAACGACGTGAATACTAATACTAAATTCTATGAAGTAGACAGATAGATAATCTATTCCTTAAAATTTTTACATAAGGAATAACTTTTGCTTAGATCGCATCATTTACAAATCATGGAAAGAGAAGAAAGAAAAAATTACTATTTTTATACCGATACTATTTGATACTGGTAATTATTAAATAAATAACATGTATACAATTTCTTACTAGTTTATGTATTAATCCAGCCAAATGCAGTATGCAGCCAAATATATATATTAGGTTGTCCGAAAAGTTTCTTTCGCTTTATTAATAAGTAATACATGCACGATATTTTACGTTTTATGTTACATTACTGAATTGTGCACGATTCATTTTGCTCCATTACTGTTACAACATGAATATCTAAGAAATTAGATTGTCTATTTATATAAACACGATCACATCAAATAATTGAGCGGAACTCGTGAAAGAAACTTTCGGGACAACCTAATATAACGAATAAAACATTTCTCATGGAACAAATGCTTACTCGTCAAAGAAATGTAATGAAACTACAACCATATTTCCGTGCACAATTTTCTAATCGATAGTATCAGCTACTGGTGCAGTATCAACCGATGCTCCCACCCCGTAGATCGTCCGGAATCGGAAGACACTTCGAGTTAACCGACGGCGATCTTCATCTAACGTGAATTACGCCAGGATTAAATTAAATCCCGTCCAGCGTATTAATTTTCGATCAGGCAGTAATCTTCGGTTCTGAATCAAACCCCGTTCCCAGCGGATCATTTTCCGGGGGTGGAATTTTACGAAGCACCACCAGCCGCGTTAGAGGATTTTGGAACGTGACCCGATTCCAGCCTGTAGTCTCGGGATGCAATCATCGTTTGATGCCCGGGGGATGACCGAAGGAGGGCCGCCGAAGAAGGGGAAGGATTATGGAGGGAATGGACGAAGGATCGTGGTCGAGAATGAGATTTAGTTGGAATTGGGAGTGCAGAGCAACAATCACGGACGATTGAATCGGCCTCGCGAGGGGTATCGATTGGTAGGACCAAGCCGCCGATACCATCCTGCTCCGAACGCCCACGTAAGAGAAGGAGAGGTTGCCTTACAACTTGTAATTCGTTGTAATTGGTTCCTTCGCTTAGGTCGTCCGGAGTTCTTTGCGGGGCCGGAGTTCTATTCGTGGACATTATCCCAGGAATTCCCCGACGACGCGATTGTTGTCGAGAGTTTAAATTTTCCGGAGCCACTCTCGAAGACCCGAGTTCGTGGAATATTAAGTTGGGCGAGTTTTGTAACGGAGATTATCTGGAAGTAAAAATTAATTTACGAACGAGTGTTTCTTCGTTTAAGTTCTCGTCCTTTAAACGAGTAAAGTTTCTATCTGCGCAAATCTTTGCTAACTTTCGATTGTTATGGTCCCTTTAAATGGCTTTTCTCTTGTGAGACGTTATTTTCCTTCGATGAGGGCTACTGGGTTTCGACATCGAATTAATACGTTTTTTGGATCTTGAGGGGTACTCTTCTTTCTAGATTAAAAAATGTATGTTGGTTGCACACTGTTCTTTGTTAATATTTTTCTTGCTTAAGGTTTTTAGAATAATTCAAAAATTTATTTAAATTTATTTATTCACATTTCAAATGTCAAGTACTTCAACTGCAAAATAATGACGAAAATTGTCTCTTAGTTTGATAAACTGCAATATCATAACACTTTCTAGGATATTTATTTCCAGCGACAGGGTGCAATATTACTTAAATGCATAAATAGTATTTAATTGGGAATACGAGAATAGAAGGCAGCAGGTAAAGCGATCAAATATAATAAAACAGTCTTGCTTGGACGCAAAAACACCTGATATTCGCGATATCCTTGTCCCTGGCTTATCTGCACAATAACTGCGCATATTCTCAATTCATGGGCGTTCGTATGTACGCGGTTTCAGTGCATACCTGGATGCACTATCTTTAGCTACAGCCAAGGCTCGTGCGCTAGGTACGTATAATCCGCCTCTAATACGGTTTGTAATCTCATATCGCAGTTCCTTTACACACGGAAAGACATATCTATACACGCATTCTCTCAAATTTACTGCGCCAGATTTGCATACGTCAAGCTCGGATCAACCCTTTTCACCATATGTAAATTTGAATTTTGGCGCTACTCTATTACCCTCAGACTCGACGCTCGCATGGTTCATGTTTAATAAAATAGATTAGATCCTCTCGGATTTGTTTGCCTTCAGTAATCACGGATCTTCTTCGACATCCTTCGACCGGAAGGAAACTTCGTTCGGAAAATGGAGAAAAACGTTATACTAGAGATCGAAGATATTTTTATGGATAATAAATAATTAAAAAATCTGAATGGAAGATACGAATTTAATAAGTTACTACTGTAATCATGCCAATCTTAATTATGAGGTTTCGAAAAGAGACTTTTCTATTTCGTTTCTTTATTAAGAAAAGTGGTAGACACTCAACAAATCCTTTTCTTTTTTGAGGTTTTTTGGAATTTTTCTTTGCGAAGAATAAATTAATCCTGTGTTTTCTTTATTCTGGGCGACGATTACCCTATTTAGACAAGAATTGAGACTGGAGAATTCAAGAACGTCGAGGAGCGAAGATAAGGAAGCTGGAGAGTAGGCGAATCGAGGTGAAGAGAGGAGGAAAATGATGTAGGAAGAACTTTTTCGTTAACATTGCACCGAGAGATACGCGTCTATGTGTTTCGTGTTTACGGACTTACTGAAGGGTCTTACTTATGTATTAGTTCATCACAGAAACGACTATTGCCGAGACAGATCCAGCTGCGCCCTTCTTGCATCTGGCCTCACTCGTTTCGCTTTTTCTCTGCTCCGTTGTTTCAAGTATTTATAAAAAGAACATTACAACACTGAATCGCAAAGCAGTATACGGGCATCCAGGAAAATATACGAGATGGTAGATGGAGTGGATTCGGAGTCGTAAGTAACAAATGCGTTTTACTCGGTTTTTAAAGCTAATTCTCCTCTCGTTAGACGACTCTGTTCCTTACCATTCGCTTAACTCGTGGAAGTTAGGTGGGATAAAAACTATTCCACCTTTTGCTTAGCTTTCCTGTTTCATTTAAAGTTTTCCTAAAAGTACAATGAGTGGGATCAGAAATGTATACAACTCAAATGCGTTAGCAAAATTGTTGACTCTGCTCTTCTCTGCAGCTTGAATTTTATTTTTATTTTATAATCGTGTGCCTCAAAGAGTTAAAGTTATGTTTGCTAGACGTTTGTAACGGTCATTTTTAAATATATTTAAACAACAAATTTATATATCAAGTTTAGTGCATGTACTGTAAAATCACGTTTCGTTTTGAATGAAAATATGTACTTAGATCATGGAAAAAAAATTCTTAAATTGCAGCTGACAACTGTAGCCCCTTAATAGTGCAAAGTCGAGTCACGATAGCTTAGAACACATCGTGCAGGCCACATCGGTCACATGGCCGCGTAACCGAACGGTTTTCACGACGGAGATCCCCGGAAAACTGCAAGGGCACGGGACTTAAGGCTCTTAAAGGTTCATCGTGAAATATTTAATGAAGCCTCGCGCGGGATTATTGCATTTTTAACGCATCGCGCTCGCACGGGAGCCGTAGCCGTGACGAGGTACACGTTTCGACGTGGGCTAGCGATGTACCAGCGGATGATAAAAAGGAGAAAGAAAATTCCGGAACGGGCGCGCAGCCACGTGAAATAATAGCTGAGAGACGACGCGACACGTCCCCCCGGTTACGATCTCGATGCTGCTGGTATCCGCCGCTGTCAAGTTTCTGATTTAATAATACATGGGCCCCGTCCAGATTCTGCATCGCCGTTTTTTTATTCCGTAATGTTCTTTCCGTGTACCGACACTTTTTTCGTTTTATAGCGGACCGTCGGCTCCCGGTGTCTTCTGGACATTTTTACGCCGCCATCGTATACCTTTTAGCAAACACGGCTTTACGCGTTCCGACTTGACGATTAGAACTTTCGCCTTTACTTCTCTTGCTGCTCTTTTTCCTTCCTTATTCTTTTTCGTATACTGTGGGAAGTAACGTGGGATGGTATCAGGGCGAAAAGAACGATGAAATGTGTTTGGTATTCGATGAAATTCTCAGGTCTCGTGTCTACACAGTCTACAAAGAATCATTTGTTGATCCTTTGCCGCGAGTAATGGCGAGCTAATGGCTGCGAATTTGTAATAATTTAGATTAAATTGGAAAGGTCCAATCAAGCTTATCGTTCGCATCACTGAATTTCTTTTAAAATAAGGCGAACCTGAAACATGTACAACCACAAACTACAAAATCTCATCTCGATACTTGCTCATTTTCAAGGAGATACCAACGTTACGGCTACACCTCTGGTTTCTTGCATAAACTTTCTCAGCTAAAATCTCTAAATGCGTTATTAAGGTTCACGATCGGAGTTGTACAACAAAAGGAACCCCGCGCATAGAGAAGGGGAGAGTAGAAAATGCTGTTAGCCGGTGTTCCCTGTACGAGAAAACGTAATTTCAGCTATTAACCGGAAACAAGGTTGTTCCCCTCAACTATCTAACCAACCGCAGGTATCCCCGTGTAAAGACAGAAGGAGATTCAACCGCGGACTTTTACACGGTTTGTTATGATTTCAGCTGTAGCTCCCTCGTATTTTCTTAGGGGGTCCGTGTCGCTTTCATTTCATTTTTTACCGCGTAAAGCGTGGAATTCAAGGGAATGAAAAGATATATACCGGGTTGCGTTTAACCTTCTCCACTTCCGATATTCTCTGGCTCTCCGTCGACAAACAAACATTTTAATTTCACCGCACTAAATGGAACGCAAAGAAAATTAATTGCTTCTTACCCTTGATCCCCTAGACGACCACGTGGTTTATTTCCGTGTAAGGGTTTAATAACTGACTGATTGGATGGTGAATTAATCAACATCGTTGAAATAAAAATTTCGGAGCTCGAGGAATGAATGAGATTTAAAGAAAATTAAAATTTAAGAGTATGACGAAGAACGTAATATGGGATTTTGATTATTTATATTCGTGATTAACAGGTTGATCGCCACGTCACTCATATATGGATGACAGTGCTTTTTATTGAAAAACGAAAACTATTCATTCTGAAAGTTAAGTGTCATAGAAAATGAATTTAAATGAAATATTTGAATTTTGATGAAGTTACAAAACTAAATACCAAAATAAATGTTTCATTACGCAGCTTCCAATAGTCTGTAAACAAAATTTAAACACGGT